GGGTGCTCTACAATTAACAATTGGCAATTTTGATCAAACTAAGTGGATAATAAGTATTTTCATGAGTTTCAAAAATATCACTGTTTAAATTATCAGCCGCTGCAACAAATGGTACTGAACACATTTTAAAAACTTTCAAAAATACCAAATGATTACAGTTTACATTATCGTTAATTACATGAATTACTTTTGAGGTATTTGGTATTTTCTGTGATGATTATTTAGCTTCAGWGGCGCCGCTGGCTTGTTCATTAAATTGCTTGTGCCATTCCAGATTCTGCTTTGTCACAGATTCGCCGCGCTTAGCTGCTTGCTTTCCACTGTATATCATAATGCCACAGCCGATCACGGTCAAACCAATCATAATATTTGCCAATCTAATACGCATTTTATTCCGGCAGCGTTCCATTTCCTCCTGGCTGTAAAAATATCAAACCAAAGCCTTAAACATGGTACCAGATGATATACTTTTTATTTGCATACCCTACAAAGGCAGGAACTTCATCTACTGATTTGTATTTGCCATTCCACACTAACAAACGTTTCTCCAATCCATTTGGCTGATGATTTTTAATAGATTGCCTCAAGGTTTGCGTGTTGCTGAACGTTCGTTGCATCAGCAAATTCGATGCGCGCTTACCCAAAGCGGCAATTAGCACGGACTTAGTTAACATCCTAATACATCAACCGGATTGAATTATTACGGATCCAAACCGGCTTTAAAAGAAATTCAATTGGAAATTCTATCGGGACTGTGGAACTTTATGCAACGTTCGTGACTGTCAGAGTTGACACCACGGTCTATCACACTTGTTGAACGTTGCCACTGAGGCAAATAATTTTCGTGAGAGAGCGGCACGTATATTCACAATACAATAAGCATCACATAAATAATATATTTACTTTAAATTAACCCACTGCTTTTTTATTAATATTAATATATATTAAATTAGAGAGCCTATAATGCAACCAATATGTATTTTTAAATATATTTTTTAGATTAAAAACACGGCATTACACAGTATCGCAAGGTACTTTGAAATGCGCATCACTTCTGTCGACCATCGATAGTATCGATTGCAWGTGTGGTTATACCGGCAAAGTTTACAAAGATGTTTTACAACGTTGTTAGACGAGCCATTCAAACACACATAAAAAATGTGAATAAATATCAAATAGTGCGGCTCAGCAGTAGCTCCCCTGGTGGCGTAAAAGATGATATMAAGGATGCGCTGGATATTGAGGCGAATTTGTTTGAAAACTCAATGGTGCAACATCAGCCGGTGAGCACGCGGGAGGYTTTACGCAAGCATAAACCAACGTTAATTAGTAAACAGAAGCGAGAGCCAAACAAAAAGAAAGACGTAGCTGCGGATACAACAGCAACACCGGCACCAGTAAAAAAAACAGCTCCAGTTAAGCGTGCGCCTACGCCGCTAATTAAGGACAGCGAATTAAATTTAGAGTTCCTGCGGCTCACCTTGCAGGACCCGTTAATGAGCACCTTGCTGACCGAAGTGCGTTCACGCAAACGTCGCGACAAAAACAAACAGATCATTGTCGAGGGGCGACGTCTCATACAGGAAGCCCTTCAATCTGGCTTGAAAATGCTTTCCTTATTCTTTAGCCAAAAGGATCAATTGGCCCTGTTGCGGGATCAAGTGGCGCAGGCTCAACAAGAACAAAACACAAAAATCTACAAAGTGCCGCAACATGATCTGAAAACATGGTCTTCGCTAGTAACACCTCCCGGACTCTTGGCAATATTTGAACGTCCCCCTCCGCAAGGCCTACAACAGCGGCAGGACATAGAGCCCTTACCCATTACAGTGGTGTGCGACAATATACGTGAACCCAACAACTTGGGCAGCATAATAAGAACCTGCGCTGCTGTGCCCTGCAGCCAGGTGGTGGTCACACACGGCTGCTGTGATCCCTGGGAATCCAAGGCGTTGCGCGGCGGCTGTGGYGGCCAATTCCGTTTGCCCATACATGATGATGTCACCTGGGAGCAGCTGCCACTGCACATACCAGCAGAGGTAGCCGATACTTGTCATGTCTTCATTGCCGAAAATAATCCGTCAAAAACGGCGAAACGTGCAGGCAGAACTGTAGACTACGCTGAATTGGATCAGACAGGCGCGCACAATGTTCTAATCATTGGAGGAGAGAGTCATGGCGTAAGCGATGATGCTTACAGGTAAACATTCTATAAGATCTATCAAAATATATAAAACTAATGTATATCATCTCCTAGTTTCATGAAACTGGTGGGCAACAGGGGCAAGTGTGTCTATATTCCCCTTGCAGCGGGCATTGACAGTCTGAATGTTGCATCCGCCCTCACTTTAATACTATTTGAGCTGCGCAAAAAACTAATCAATAAAACGAACGATTAGTTAAAATAAGTATGCAGCTTAAATTGATATAGTTTTATGTCAAAATATAAAGTACAATCGACTAAACGGATTCTTTAATTTAACAATCTTTATATTGTTTGTTATTTTCTATATTAAATCCCATTTGTAAATAACTTTGACATACTACAAATTTATTGCTAAATTGTTTCACTTATTTCATTTTTTGTAAAATTAATAAAAATTCAACTATTAGCTTCGATTTCCTTGTATACCTCACGTTTGTATTCATCCAGGCCGCCCTCAATAGCGCGCACCGTTCGATTACCACAAACCCACAATTCCTTGCAGACGACTTTAATTAAACGTTCGTCGTGAGAGACCAGAATGACACCGCCCTGAAAATTCAATTGAACAAAATTATAAATTATACAGATAAAATCTTTTAGTTTAGTTCATACCTTAAATGCATTTATAGCTTTGCCCAATGCATC